GTGCAAGATTAAAGAATACCCTATTTTTTACTCTGAAAAGATAATTATAGTATAATACCTTGTTATTATATTATAACAAATAATATAAATGTTATTTCGGATAACATTTTAGTTTTCCACACATTTTTTAGCATGACTGCATTTCATTCGCGAAATCAATTCATTATGATTTCTGTTATACAGACCCAGAGGAGTCCAGTGATTTTTAGCAAGGTCAGTAAATTACAAAGCCAGATTTTGAAGTCAGGTATTCAAACTCCAAACTCTTTCCATTATATTCACTACAATTCTTATTTTAGTGTTATGGTCTGTTCTCTTACTATTCTTATTATTTATACTTCTTGCCTAAACCTAGACTTTTCTGTAGCATTACACTGAAGTCAAATGTCACATGTTCAACCTCTTCTTCATTTTGCCTCATCAAGGTGTTTGCTGGTCCTCATACCTGAAGTGTATTTTACACTGCCAAATGTAGCTTTTTACTTTTTCAAACTGGAAGTTAACACTGGCAATTAAGTTTGCTAATTAGGCTAACTGGTCAGCTATGTTCAGTCCATCTGTTCAGTCCTAGAGAATTTTTATTTTGGGGATTTAAGGAAAGACACCCTAATTATACAACTCTTGTCACTGATAATTACTGATGCTAGTTTCCTATGTTTTCAAAAAGCTCAAGATGTGGAAGACTTAGCAACTATAGCATGTTTAGCTTTTAATAACCACAAGTGTTTTACCATGGTCTTGTGAGGATGGGAAAGAAAGAGTAACACCCAATCTCTCTGACAAGGAAGTTACTATGCAGTAGAGAATTCTTAATTCTTTCTCCAAATGCAGACTGTACAGAGTATATTAGGTTCAGCTAATCTCATAATCACACCATTGGTTACAATAGGTTTAGACCGAAGAGTATGGTTTGCTCAGCACTATCAAAAAAGTAAATAATTGTCATGTTTATAAGAAGGATGCCACTACCAACAACAATAAACAAATAGCAGACCCCATGTGTCAACTAACGGGGTAATTAAACACATTAATACTCAGTAACACTTGGAGTACTAGCCAATTAAAGTGCCTGTAAAGTCAAAGAAGTGTCCAATCTTCTACACAGCAATGAAGCTTAGACCTGCCATCAACAGCCTCACTGGAAGGCTCAGCAGTTTCATCAAAATCACCAGTGAGTCACCCTAGCAGAATAAGGTCACCAACAATGAAGACTGGTAATAAAGTCAACTTTATCTAAAATGAAATCATCTTTACGTTGTAACTGCTGTGTTAGACAGGTACGAAGGACAGATGCTAAAGTTGCCTGAATTATATACTGAGCTTACACAGGAGCAAATACATGATAAAAAGCCAAAAGGAGAAAAAAAAATCCCCCAAACCCAAAACAAACAAAAAACAAAAACAAAATTAGACCAATTAATACTTCAGTAATTCCCTGAGATCAGCTAAAGTAATGTGGAAAGTTGCAGCATATACCAATTAGAAGGGCTGATTCTTTCTCCATTACATTCGCAAGCCAGTGTTAATTTCTGATGTACAAAGAACCTGTGATTTTAAACAGACTGCAGTCACTTCCTCTAAGTGAACTATGACCCTGTGGAAAAATCTCATTAGGGCATTGTTGGGTTTTCATTAATAAATGCATGTGTATACACAGATAAACATACAGAAAGCAAATTTACAAAGAATAGCAAGAATATTTATTATGTTAAAAGCATGTTATTAGCTTCACTGAAATATTCCAGATGCTGCCTTATTTTATTCGTTTTAGGCAAAATAGCTTAAGATACATAAAAATTAACTACTTGATGATAAGTAGGTGAGTTAATAGAACTACTCAAATTCTAGAAGAAATAATGAATATAACTAAATATCTAAATTAGCTAATATCTAAGTATCTAACATACCAAATGACTTCTTTATGAGTAAGTTCAGTAATAAGACACTTGTAACTTTAGGAAATATGGTTAAACCATACTTCAGACTGCAATATAAGAGGGACTATTACTGCTGCTTACAATAAGCCATTCACCTACAGGGGAACTGAGCAACTATTATGCAAGCAAAAGGATGGGAACAGGAGAAGTCCCACGAGATTCCTTCCATCCAAAGAGCTTTGAAAGAAGCAAATACAGACATAAACATTTGTAGCATGTGGTTAGCACCATCATGAAAACTATAATGAAGAACCACACATAGAAGTTAAGCCCTAAAAGATTGAGGATGATCAAATACGGAAAGAACTTCCTTGACATTCTCAGAAGCAGTGGCAGCACAATACGAGGGAACAGATGAATGCTGCCCCCAGGTTTTCTGGCATTTTTGAGTAGAAAAAAGAATGCACCTTTAACCAAAACTGCTCCAAGAGGAGAAAGGTGAAAAATATGAAAATAACTTCATCCACGAGGTTGAAATGTCAGGTAGACAGTTGAAACAAAAGTACAGGTCTTGAATTTTGGACCAGATCTATAAGAGAGAACACTGGGATAGAATAGAAACCCTGGGGCTGGGACATCTCCAGAAGCAGTCTGAAGACTGACTCTGAGAGAGCATATTTTCATAGACACAGTGTAAGTAAGAGTTAGGTGACTGTACGACCAGCTTGAAGAGGATAACATCCTCAAGGGAGGAGACACTGTCTTAGCAAAGGTTTCTCAATGATGTAAATGTTGCAGAGACAGTGAAGAATAAAGGATGCAGACTGAGAACAAAATCATTTTTCTCCCAATTTTTTTTCCTCTCCATTTGGTAACTGGAGTCCACTGACAGCAGTTTCACTGCAGTGCTATGTAAAACCAGACGGCAAGGTGCTGAGCAGTGAGTGATGAGGATACAAGGGCAATGGATATGGATTTCTCCAACAAGTCTGGCAGTGAAGAAGGCTGGAGAAACCTTCCTGTTGAGCTAGTTTTTTGCATTGAAGGATACATGACTATTTTTGTAGACAGTGAAAAGGAACCAGCATATAATTCCTGGCATAATTTTGTACTGATCACAGACTAAAAAATTATTTTTAATCTTTTTCAAAAACATTCTCTGAAATAAAATTTAACACAAAAATTAAATTATACATATTTTCCCATTTAAACTTAAAATCACTAGTTTATAAATTTTATTTCTTAAAGAGTTGTACACTTTTTGCTATTAGACTACTTCAGAATGTTGCTTCTACTCTAGCATAAGAAATTAAATTTTATTAACAATTGCTAATTTAGTTCCAGAAAGATACTCTGATATAAAGGATTACACTTAATTACACGTAGCTTATTTCCCAGTACTCCTCCCCTAAAAACAAAGTATCTTCAGGGTAGTTAATAATTTGGATGTTTTTCAAGTTGAAGAAAAGAAAAATCCGAAATAGTATTCCATTGTTCATAAGTTCTTAAAGATCTAAATTTTCTTCACAATTATTTTTCATGATAATACATGCCTTTTTATTATATATACATGCTTACATATGAATTTCTGGCTAAAACACATGCAATCAATATGAAAAAAGCAAATATTAAACAATCCTCACAATCTTAAGAATGCCATTTTAATTAAAGACACACTCATGTTTAGAAACAGGATATAACCACTAAATTAAATACAATGCTTAAAAGAAGCTTTTTATTAAGCATAAACAACTTATAATACATTATCAATACAAATAGGAAAATGTCTCTTAATGAATGATATATCAAAAATCTGAAGGTTTTCTCCACACTGACACAATAAAAATAATTAACTTCGAAGGTTTACAAAGGAAAATTTTGAGGACACCACGGTCTACTTGGAACAGTTTACTTACAGTCTAAATTTACTACATCACCTGGGGAGGAGGGGTAACCAATTTTTATAGAATTCCTAAACTGTTATTAGCACCACTCAAAGCTTATTATCAGTTGTTCATCTATAAACTGACAGATCAGGTAAAGCTTTAAAAAAAATTCAGTGCAATGTTTACAGTTCCTTCTTTTAAGATACTTGGAGTGTATGGTCTCAAAGCATGTTAAATAATTTTGTCTTAGTAGTTGCAAGGTAGAGAGAAATGTGTAATGGAAAGAAACGAGGCTTATCCTGGTTGTGAAATGTTTCTTAATGTATTGTGGCTAATGTAGTTTGCCGACGACATGCGGGATTATAAAACACAAATCTGTGGGAAGCTGGTAGCTATTAGCTCTCTGTGGTCATCATTTCAGGATGTCTCAGCTGTTGTCTTTTTAGACTAACTAGTTTCATCCTGTCTCTGATGTGTTCTGCAGCAGAAGCCATGTCGCTTGGACTCCCAAAATACTGCTCAGTTCTAAAAATCAAAACAAACAGAAGAGCCCCAATCAGATTAATATAAATCTACTGACTGTATTGAATGCAAAAGGAAACAAAAATTACCATAAAAATTATTTTGTGATATGGCATCAGTTCATTTGCAGACTACACTGTTTATCTTTGAGTAGTAATTCAATAGTAGAAACATTTTTTAAATGGCATAAAATATATTAGGACACACTAAGAAAAATATGTTAGTGTATAAATGTCTTATAATATGTACTTTTGATAATCTCAATAAACCAAACAGTGCAACAATAAAGGAAACAATGCAAACTGTAGATATTCTGCTTCTCAGTTCTGGGTCTACAAGCATACACAAATATAAAATTTGTATGTGTACTTCAGTGCCAATGGCTATGTATGCCAATTGTCTAATAATATAAATGATAAGTAAAATATCTTAGGGCATCATTTGGAATATTAATAGATAAAATCATTTATCTATTAACCTACTTCCAAAACACTGTATTCAGACACACAGACTCTTATAGAGCTGCAAGATTTCTTGGAAATTATCTGGTTAAGCACTTCATTTTTTACATCAGAAAACTAAGGCCTTCATATAATTCCTGGCATAATTTTGTACTGATCACAGACTAAAAAATTATTTTTAATCTTTTTCAAAAACATTCTCTGAAATAAAATTTAACACAAAAATTAAATTATACATATTTTCCCATTTAAACTTAAAATCACTAGTTTATAAATTTTATTTCTTAAAGAGTTGTACACTTTTTGCTATTAGACTACTTCAGAATGTTGCTTCTACTCTAGCATAAGAAATTAAATTTTATTAACAATTGCTAATTTAGTTCCAGAAAGATACTCTGATATAAAGGATTACACTTAATTACACGTAGCTTATTTCCCAGTACTCCTCCCCTAAAAACAAAGTATCTTCAGGGTAGTTAATAATTTGGATGTTTTTCAAGTTGAAGAAAAGAAAAATCCGAAATAGTATTCCATTGTTCATAAGTTCTTAAAGATCTAAATTTTCTTCACAATTATTTTTCATGATAATACATGCCTTTTTATTATATATACATGCTTACATATGAATTTCTGGCTAAAACACATGCAATCAATATGAAAAAAGCAAATATTAAACAATCCTCACAATCTTAAGAATGCCATTTTAATTAAAGACACACTCATGTTTAGAAACAGGATATAACCACTAAATTAAATACAATGCTTAAAAGAAGCTTTTTATTAAGCATAAACAACTTATAATACATTATCAATACAAATAGGAAAATGTCTCTTAATGAATGATATATCAAAAATCTGAAGGTTTTCTCCACACTGACACAATAAAAATAATTAACTTCGAAGGTTTACAAAGGAAAATTTTGAGGACACCACTGTCTACTTGGAACAGTTTACTTACAGTCTAAATTTACTACATCACCTGGGGAGGAGGGGTAACCAATTTTTATAGAATTCCTAAACTGTTATTAGCACCACTCAAAGCTTATTATCAGTTGTTCATCTATAAACTGACAGATCAGGTAAAGCTTTAAAAAAAATTCAGTGCAATGTTTACAGTTCCTTCTTTTAAGATACTTGGAGTGTATGGTCTCAAAGCATGTTAAATAATTTTGTCTTAGTAGTTGCAAGGTAGAGAGAAATGTGTAATGGAAAGAAACGAGGCTTATCCTGGTTGTGAAATGTTTCTTAATGTATTGTGGCTAATGTAGTTTGCCGACGACATGCGGGATTATAAAACACAAATCTGTGGGAAGCTGGTAGCTATTAGCTCTCTGTGGTCATCATTTCAGGATGTCTCAGCTGTTGTCTTTTTAGACTAACTAGTTTCATCCTGTCTCTGATGTGTTCTGCAGCAGAAGCCATGTCGCTTGGACTCCCAAAATACTGCTCAGTTCTAAAAATCAAAACAAACAGAAGAGCCCCAATCAGATTAATATAAATCTACTGACTGTATTGAATGCAAAAGGAAACAAAAATTACCATAAAAATTATTTTGTGATATGGCATCAGTTCATTTGCAGACTACACTGTTTATCTTTGAGTAGTAATTCAATAGTAGAAACATTTTTTAAATGGCATAAAATATATTAGGACACACTAAGAAAAATATGTTAGTGTATAAATGTCTTATAATATGTACTTTTGATAATCTCAATAAACCAAACAGTGCAACAATAAAGGAAACAATGCAAACTGTAGATATTCTGCTTCTCAGTTCTGGGTCTACAAGCATACACAAATATAAAATTTGTATGTGTACTTCAGTGCCAATGGCTATGTATGCCAATTGTCTAATAATATAAATGATAAGTAAAATATCTTAGGGCATCATTTGGAATATTAATAGATAAAATCATTTATCTATTAACCTACTTCCAAAACACTGTATTCAGACACACAGACTCTTATAGAGCTGCAAGATTTCTTGGAAATTATCTGGTTAAGCACTTCATTTTTTACATCAGAAAACTAAGGCCTAGAAAATTGAACAATTTAACTAAGATCACAGAGTGGAAAAACCAGAATTTGAACCTGGGTCTTCAAGAAGTGAATCCAGAGACATTTAATGTCTTTTATTTCTCCAGGAGAATGTTACAAAAGATAAAACTGAATAAGCTTACTGTCAAACTAACTTTATATAGCATAAACAGATTATAATGTAAAACAGAATAAAAATAATTCTAAATATTAAAGGTGGTGGTTCTGAAATCTGAATGACCTAATGACACATGGACTATTTGTGGGACACAGGAGGAAGAAACACAGGCAAAAATACCAGGGATAGGTGCTCCTCGGGTGATCCCAAGGGGGTCAGAATGGGAGACTGAGTGTGTGACAAACAGTGAAATAGAAAAATGAGGGAGTGAGGTGTCCTGGAATGGAACAAAAGCACCCCTGTTATACTCTTACTAGCTGAATTTATAATTTTTTATATTTCATTCTTTCATATATTGCAGCTGTATAACATAACTTTAGCCTACTTCTGATTGCTCATTTAAGTAATGACTAAATATAGATTATGAATCATGTTCTTTCAAGGGAATGAAATGGTATTTTCTTTATATCAATTCCAAATAATCGTTTGAAGTTCATGACGCAGTAGTGGTAGCGCTGTCTGATTTGTTTTAAGTAGTATATACATTTCACCCATATACTTCCCCCACCTCCATAACCTGAGGAGGTGTGAGTACATATATCCCCCCTATTTTTAGATCGGGAATTGAGGCACAGAAAAGTTAAGTGGCTTGCCCAAGGTGTTGCAGCGAGTAAGTGGTGGAGCTGAGATTTAAACACAAGAAATCTGGTTCCAGTCCACAGTCCTCTCCATTAAACTACACTACAGCATAAGCACGGTTGTATTTAATGATTTGGTTTCTCTATTGTTTGAATTAAATATCATCAGGGATGCAGCTCCTTCTGATTCATTTACTGGCCCATTTATTTGTATGAAATTATTTATTTTTATCAACTAGTTGAAATGGAAATGAACATGGGAATCAGAACTCCATCATTTACCAATGAAGAAAGTATGACTCCATATAGCACACTGAAAAGAGAATGGCTTTGGAGCCAGACAGACAACACTGTATCCTAAGTCCACTTAAAAGCTGTGAAGTCTTGAGTACCTTACTTAGTATTTCTCAGCTTCAGTCTCTTCATCTGTAGATTAGGAATAATCATACTGAACTGGCATTATTTGGTCAAAAAAAATGAAGGTGCTTTAACTCAGCACATGGTATATAATATGAACTCACTAAACATTAGTCTTAGCCAAGGTTAGAACTCAAGATGTCAACCTAGTTAAATATCATTCTACTACAACAAGCTGTCAAGAAAGCAACAAATCTAATAAACAGCAAGGACCAAAAACTACTGTTGCTAAAAGCTGTTTTTATTTTATTTTTTATTTAAAACCAATTTATTGTAGGAATTAAAGATGTGGACCAAAGTTAATTTATGTGGCTTTTTAAAGAACAGATTTTCATCTCTTGATGTTTTCACTTTAAGACCTCACTGATAAAAAGATAAAATTATAAGAACATGAACCATACCCATCAGGATAAACTACAGGAACAGTTAATCTATCCAAAAGTGATTTCCCAACTGCTTCAATTTCATCAAATTGCTCCTCATCATTAATAGCTTCAGGCTCTTCTGGACAGTCTTGCAAAATCTGCAACATATAAAAGGACAACATCAATCAAGAGACATAGTAAGGGAATCAAGCTTATACAAATTTGTTAGGTTAAAGGTGTTGTTGTTTTGTTCCTAGCATCTTCATGTACTCCACTGTACGAGAATGATCAATCATTGGCATAGCTGGCTCAAGAAGTTAAAACAAAATGGAATACATACTTCCTCTTAATATATAATTAGAGTTCAAAAAGGTCTTTAGTGATTTCTAAGAAAAAAAATAATACCAGACTACTACTTGGAAAGTAAAATAAAACAGTGCTTAAGAAGCATTCTTTCATTAAGTATCTATTTATTGCACACTTACTATTTGCTTACTTAGCAGCTTGGGATATGAATGAGATACAGATTTTGACCTCAAGAAGCTTACAGATTTCAAAAATAAAAGAAAATATAAATACAAAATAACATGTATTCAGAGTACAAACACATAATTGATGTGATGACCTAACTAGACACTTTGTAGTTTTTTTAAAAACTGATCTGAGTTAACTTATGTAACTGATGAGTTTGTAATTCAAATATAGGAAGTTCTACAGTTCTTGATAAGACAGGATTTCTTTTCTTAATCATTACCATTTAAATATAACTACAGAAGGAAGGAAGGAAGGAAGGAAGGAAGGAAGGAAGGAAGGAAGGAAGGAAGGAAGGAAGGAAGGAAGGAAGGAAGGGAGAGATGGAAGGAGGGCTAAAGTTATAGGTATTGACCCACACTAGTCAATACAGTAGCCACTAGTCACATGGGCTAGTAAGCACCTGAAATGTGACTAGACCAAATTGAGATGTGCTATAAATCTAAGATATACACCAGATTAAAAAACAGTAATAAAAATAAACTGCAAGAAGAAAGACTGTAAATTTTGAGGAAGAAGGAAAAAGAATATTATTTCTCCAACATTTTTTTGCATTATATGTTACTTATTTAAATCCTATCATGTTTATTCCAGCATTACTTATAAAGGACATTTTTATATTCCAAAATTCTAGATTCAATTTAAATATTTTCCTAATCATCATATGCAATTTGCTTATAGTTGTGGTTATATTTATGCTTACTGGTATAAAATAGAACATAGTCAAGAGGAAAATAATCTCTGATAGCAAATGCTTTCCATAAGTTTGCAAAGTAAAGTAATCTTGAACAGATTTTATTATAAGCATGATAAGGGCCAAGTAGCAAAAAAATAGGAACATTAATTTTCTATGAAAAACTCAACCATATTCACATTCTTATATGACCTCTTAAAGAGGTCTAAGTTTTAAAATGTCCTTGCAGATACATTTTAGAAGCACTACCCTAAGTTATCTATGGTGATAAAAATCAGCCCAGTGTCCCTCCTGGACAGGAGGGAGTGGGGAGGAGCAGCAGGAGCAGGGGGACTAAGCAGGTGGGAGAGCTTCTGGGGTGCCGCCTGCACCCGCTGTGTGGACAGTGCGCCAATTACACAGGGGGGTTCACTCTGTGAACTTTTATTAAGCAGAACACTTGTGGTATGTACTTTCCTAGTTTAGTATTATACTTCAGTAAAAATTTTTCATTAAAACAACCAGTGGATAAGGAAGTTAAACCATTTTTATACTTCCATTCATCATTAGGCATATTTTAAACTAAAACACTGACCTGTGTAGAACAGTGATCAGCTCAGAAATAGTTAACTATGGCCATTTCCCAACAGATGCAAGATATACATAACATAGAACCTGCTTAACTCCTGAGATTCCTGGTAACATCTCTTCTGTTTTATAAACTAGGCTATCACATTTGCACCTTAGGTTTCTCAAATTTTAAATTGTACTGAACATCTCCTACAGACAAATTTCACTGCAAGAGTCAAAACAAAGTTAATTACATAATAAAGCTCTTCTTCAGAATAGAAATGTAAGACTTAGGTGCTATGAATTTTCATTGTGCAGAGTTTTAAAAAAAAAGGCTATCCTGAAAATTTGCCCAAATAACACAACATATTTTATTTTTGGTTTCTAACTAATGAATTAATAATTAATTTTATAATGAATCTATCTTTAAAGATAACACGTGAAAAAAAGTTTTAGTTTTACCCATATTCTGATTATGTTAGTATGGGTCTCGACTTTAAATATTATAAAATTACACAGTGCTATTTTTAAAAAAACTTTATGACAATTAGTGGTAGATGCCAAAGCAAAGTTTCCTTTCCTGGCATAATGAAAGAGACAGGAGCCAACCCACCCCAAGGAACAGAGAGCCCACTCTGGGCATCGGGCTGCATGAGGAGAGAAGCACTGCCGACAAAAACTACCGGCTCACTCCAACCACAGCTCTCTAGCGCTGGTATGACTACTAAAAGCGTCTGATCTACCTAAACAAACTTGAAACAAGGAGTAAATAAGTATTTGTTGGGAGAACTAGACTAATTATATAATTACATTATTAAAAAGAATATATTTTAAACACACACAACAAATACTACGGAGACTGTATTTTTTAAAAAAACAAACCTTTTCAGCACTGGAGTGAAATGCAATTGCCATTTCCAGCCTATGTACTCTCTCTTCAGATGCTATTGTAAATTGTTTCCACACTCTGTTCAGTCGGGGAAGTGTATCGCCTGATGACCGAGAAGTGCAGCGCAAAGACTGGCACAACACAACTGTGGCCTGTAACAACTGTCTTCCATAGTCATAAGTGCTCTAAAAAAAGAAAAAGTAAACATGAAATTACAATAAAAGAATTCTGAAAAGAGGGATGGGAGAGTGTGCAGGACTGTGGTTGCAAATAAGTACACTACTAGAAATCAACACTGAATGACTCCACTGGCACCTATCTGCATGCATAAATAATGAAGGGGAAGCAATACTTCAGCGAAGTTTCTTGTTAGGCTTCCCTCTCTTACTCTATTTTTTCTGTTGCAGTCTGCTCAATTCCACAGACAAAAAGAGTATCTATTCACTAATTAATCAAAGTAAATGGGTGAAACTGGGCACTTTATATTCCATATAGAAAACTATAACTGTTACACTGTGAACTCAATTATTAGGGAATATAAATTAAGATATTTTTCACACACACAAAATCTAGTGTTATGCTAAGATTGATGAGATGCAGAAAAGAGGTTTCTAATTCACTGATACTAACATATATTTCATACTAACTTACATGAATAGTTAGAGTGCCTAAAAAATGCCATAATACATAATAATATCAATCGGAGGGAGCACACAGAACCTATATTCAGGGAAACATAAACCCTCTCAAGTTTATGCAGGCCAGTTTTGATGCACCAGCTGACACTTTCTTAGTTCTGATATTTCTGGAATAACATAACTAACCTTCTTGGACTTGGAGGGTTAAGTTATATTACAATCATGCAGAAAGCTACTCAAACACTGAGCTTGTAGAAAAGGAAGAAAACCAGTTCTACACCTGTGCAACATCAACAAATTTTCTATGCTTTTCCAGTAAAACTTTCGTTTCCTGAGCGTCATCACCCAGTCTGACGTGGGTCTTAAGCAGAGCATCCAGAAGTTCACTTAGCCATTCTACTGCCTGAATGAAAATAAATGACAATGAAGCTACATTCATAACTCTTTACTTGTTACATCAAAACATATTTATAAAAGATTACTGTATGATTAATCCATTAGTTATAACCTAAATTCTTAATAGCTTATTTCATTCAAAGCCAAACTACATGAATTAATAACCTCTCCTCCCCATCAAAATTTTTTAAATCTAAAGACAAGACCTACTAAAGAGAAGCACTCTTTTAAAATTAGTATCACATGAATTATATTAACAGAAGATCATGTGTTTATGCAACATAGGTCTTACTGGTATCTCATTACAGATTTACGTTATTATAAATTTCCTCTATGTCAAGTTGAAAGTATGTTCTGTGATGCTAACCACACAGACACAGCAAATGGTTCAGCCAGTTGAAAAAAGCCAGGTTAAAAAGCAGTGTGCTATACCAGCCAGTCCTGGGATGTAACTACAACCAAATCAACAATAATAATTAATAAATAATCCCAATTTCTGACTCAGTAGAGGACTTCATTGAGAAGTTAAATGGAACCAGTAAGATGACTAGGAGTACAAGAAGTACTTTATTATTTCAACAGGATAAACTAGAATCTGATTTAATGATTTTACTTTCTTAGGATCATGAAAAGTGACTTTTGTTTATTCTTAGGCGAAATCAATCTTCTAAAGAAAGAGGTGTACATAATGTGCTGATTAGTCTTTACCTGGGCAGCGTCTTCTTCACACTTAAACAGCTGCACCATCTGAAGCATCTTCAGCCTTCGCACATCTACCATGTCTTCACATCTAAGAAACCCAAACATAAACTTAGGAAATCATGTCAGTTTTGTTGGTAACTATTACCAGGCCATCATCTGGTACATGTGCTTTGTAATATACTAGAACATGTAGTTCTACACTATGGAGAATGCAGTTATTCTGTATTGATTTGTAAGAATTTCAAGCATATCTGCATCTATGTTACATCAAAAGCCTCAAAATACCTGAATGATACTGAATCAGAAACCCTCTTGGGGATAGCATGGATTCTGCAAAATACTATAAAGCAAAGCAAAAACACAGTGAGGCATTCAAAACTAAAGAAATCTTCACTGCCAATCAGCATTAAACAAGCTTCAGCGATAAAAATGTAAAGTTTCTTATACACTAATTTAGAGGATGATGCTCCAAGAAAAAAATTTTCTTTTAAATTAACACTTTTCATTATATTACATTACCCAAAGTAATAGCTAATTTTGAATTTAAAAAAAACCCCTCCATCTATGTTCTTAGGAAAAAAAACCTCTATTGATCTCTGCATGTAAAGAAACATAAAGTATCTTTGCACTGTGGTCTGCCTGGGTAATAATCAGATTAAACTTTTCAGGTGACTTGATCTAATTCAGCTCTGATTCATTCTCTTCATTCCCCTCAGTTCCATGAATTTCAGATGGGAAGGGGAGGCTCACCCCCTTCCCAAGTACCAAGGCCAGGAGGCACTGGGCTCCTGTATAGTTGATGTTCCTAAAAAGGCTTAGTAACTATACAGAAATTACATCACAGACCGTTTTTTAAATAAGGATGCCCTTAACAAAAGCCCATAACAAACTATTAAAATGCACCTTAGTTAAAATAGTTCTATGAGGGGCTGAAGGGAAGTGCTAAATATTTTTAAAATCTGAAGCTACTAAAAAACAATGTAAAACACTTTAACAATGCAGATGGTGTGATATATACTCAACACATGTTGTCAGGTATTGGATAATGTGCTTGAAAAATAGATGACATAGTTTCTACTATTAAGATGGTCCCATATTGGGAATGGACTTTTAAACAATGTGATAAATGCTACTGTGGAGCTCTGTGAAACATCTACTGGGAGAATGTTTTCAATGACAAGGCTGTCAGGGAGTTTCAAGAAGAAAGAAAAAGTCAGTTGTGTCTAATACTATTCAGAGTGGTCAGGCAATGTCAGGACCAAAAGTATCCTGCGGATTCTGAGCAAGATCAAGCATTTATTATATAGGGCAATTACAAAGCCACTGTTGATATCAGTTAGAGTGGATTCAGTGAAATGGTGAGGGCAGAATGTCAGACTGAGGAGGGCTGAAAAGTAAACTGGAGGTAGTGAGGAAGCAGTGTGAACACAGATTAGACCTGCCAAAGACTTAGCTGTCAGGAGAGAGAACTCCATCTAGAGGACAAAGGGTTGAAAAGGAAGGAATATGCATGTGTGCAACTGTTAAACTTTTTTTAAATATGAGAGATGTAAACATGTAAATGAGGGGTAGGGATGAGAATAAAGAATGGCAGTTGATGGAGGGAGGAAAAATAAGCATACACGGCTTTGAGAAGTACAGAGCTGTATCATCCTTTGGGGTAAGAATAAATAATGAAATAGGTTAAGTTTGCAGATATGATGGTAGAAGGAATTTTTGCCTAATGACTATTTTCTCCATGATGTAGGGGGAGAGTTTCTGTGAGGTTTTATTGATGACCTTAAAATTTCTATGTGTGGAAAGATTTCATACAACCATGCCAGATTATAAATGCTTGCATATATTAATACTTCTCTTCATGATACCTTGCAGTTGCTATTAAAAATGGAGTTTTCAAAGAATCCTTTAAATTCTAGTTTCATATTAAAAGAAACTAAACCTCACCTTACCCAGAGTTTACTATTTCTTCTATAGAAATATGAGTGTGTGACAATTTGTAATAAGTATAGATACAAAAAAAAACAGATCAATGTAGATGACAGACTTAACAACAACTCTAAACCAAATGAAAATAGAAAAGTAAAATTCTCCAGAAAGGGTTTTCTTCAAAGAGAGAAGAGTCATAGGCTACACTGAGAATATAGAATTTGAAGTATTTGAGAGGAACTGAAGTTTTTACTGAGTAAAACAGGAAAAATTATATTGTCATCATTTGTTAGTACAGTATACACAATAATTATGTTCACCAAAAAGCTACCATGAAATAGGTAAGAACTTTTACTTTGTACAGGAAATGCAAATCACATCACTTTTCATTTTAATTAATATTATGTTGCCTTAGCAAAAATAAGCATTAATAATCAAACTTTGCCTTTGTTTTCTAAGTTGCATATCTTCCATTACTCCTTGTATGTGGTCCACATTTTCTTTATTTTCAATGGTTACATCCTTCCCATAGGCCCAGGATGCCTGGTTGGAGATCTGATCCAGAAGACCTTGGCCTTTTTCACGCAGACGTTGCAAACCTACATCTAAAACAAAAGTTATTTGACTTAATCTCTTAAACAACAGAGGTGCTTTCTCTAACTCAAGTAAATCCTCTCATCAGGTAACATACTTGGATTCCAAGTATAACAGCTTTGTACATACAACAGTTACCTTGGTATGCAATTCTCTAAACATTTCAAGCAATAAAACCCTTTAAATGTGGCTCACACTGGAGTTCTCTCACATGCCAAACTCACCCTAAAGAGAATTTCTAAAAGTTGAATTCCCATAGGTAGTAGTTTTTATAACTGAAAACAGGACCAAAGTATGAGAATTTCCATTTTGATGAGTAAAATTTCTCAACTTTTTTCCTTTCTCCTTTATGTAGTCCAAGACTTAGGAGAACAAGGCAAATATTTTGTTCAAAAAAAACATGTAAGAGTTGCAAGACTTCGAAACAGCCAAGCAATGTATTATCACTGTAAAAGGACACTGGACATAGCAAGTACAGACACAATCCAGCTTACACCTAACAAGAAGCAACACTTCGGATATGTTTACAATACTCCACTAAGTACACAAGATGTTTTTTTTCTTTTTTAAAGGGGAAGTGTGGCTGAAGAAAACTTCTAACACTTTGAAATAAATTTCATTTGGCATTATTAAAATATGTATTATGCATGTCATCTGCTAAAATAACAAAGGCTGTAAGCAAGTAAAATGCCAATACAAACATGATTTTTCAAATTCATTTCCTCACGTCCTTTCAAAAATTAATTTGGTTTAATCATATGTGTCAAGATTTGCCACTAAATCTCTACCTTAAATTTCTGCTTCCTCTCCTCCATTCCCCTTTGTCCTCCTGTTCCACTCAATTCAACAGCCCCCTTCCTGCTTTTACATCCAGTATACACCTCTTCAGTCATGAGCTAGGGATATTCGCTATATTTCCCACTGGAGTACAATGTAAAAGGCCTTGGTGTCGAGTGAGAAAACTAGCTTAAAGAAATGGGACCATCCTCCCCTCAGACAGTGTATAAACTTGGCAACATTCCCAGTTTGAAGAAACAAATAAATGCAGAACCAAACCCACTACTTTTTTTTTTTAAAACAAGGTTAGGATAGAGCAACAACAAAAATCATTGCATAAAACACAGTTTTGGGTATACAGGGTTTCCCACAGAACACTTCACAGCTAATTACAGTTTATGCATGCACTACAAATAACTGTTCATAGTATATGCAAGACATAGCACCTGTAGATATAGCTGGGTCAACAAGAAAGGCTAAAGGCCCAATGAAAGGAAAGTGATGACCAACAATAAAAAATAAAAATTTCACCATAAATTATATCCTTCAATGAAATGAAACCTTTTTTATAATAATTTTTCCTATATTCCGTGTGAATCATTTTAATTACATCAGTATAAGCTGACTTATATAACCATAGTAATGATATTTATAAAAAAAAACCCTTATGTTGCAGCATTTAAAAAATCTGCTTACCAACACTTTTCAGCTTCTCTTCAAGCAGTTTTAAAGTTTGCTGAATCGATGCTCCATCAGCTGGTGCTACATCTACGCACAACATCCCTAATAAGCCATCCAACTGCTGAGACAACTAAAGCAGAGGGACACCAAAGAGATAACCCTGATGTAATCAGCATCTAGTGTTCAATGATTAATGAGGTTTACATCTAATGAGGTTATCACATTTACTCTTGAAAAAGACTATGCTGCTAAAAGACAAGCACGAATAATTAGAATACATGTTATCTGAAAGAACACACAGATGCATGCACCACAAAGACAAAGAAGTATATCCAGGTCAGGAGAATGCAAAAAATTACTGGAACTTCCACTGCAATCTATTTTATAAAGCATAAACACTGAGAAACATCAAAGTGAAATATATCTACTAGATTGGAACATTATTTAGACAAAAAAGCATTAGTTGCATGCAGAATGACCCATTAAAGTTAAAAAAAAATTAAAGGAATTTTATTTCATCACCCCACCAATAAATTATTTTATTGTTTCAGAAAAATTAGGAGACATGCAAACTGCAAAAATTATGTCCAGATAAGTGTTCATCTAATTTGAAGAAAAGAATAGCAATGAGAGTAGACACTTACATCTTGGGCAACACCATGAAATTCAAGAGCTGCCTGTAAGAGATTTTGCCTAAATTCCAGCTGACTGGCCTGTCGATAACAAACATCACTAAGTTGTTGCTGCAATGACTTTAGTTCCACAAGATCTTCCTCATCCCCAGCATTTAAGAGGGCTGCAATTTGCTGATTAAGTTCTACATATACTGCAAACCATTCCTGTAACAGAAATGTTATAAATTATTTAAGGATCAAATGAGTTCCAGAAGAACTCACTTTATATTTTATCATTTCTCCAGATATACTAAGATTATAAGAATTTTCTAAGGTAAAAGTCAAAATAAGACTTTTTGAAGACAAAAGCCCCAACCCCCAAATCCTACTATGATCCCTGTAACTCATGCCTGCCAACAGCAATATCTCCTGTATCCTCACTCTGGCCTCTAAATGTTCCCTTGTCTTTCTTGTTCTCCATGAAATGCGCCCACCCTCAGAGGAAACAGCCCCACAGCCTTCCTGATTGCTGTTTTTGTTTTCACAGCTGACATACCACAAGCTGGGAGGTGGGGGACACGGCTGACTCATTCCTCATTTCTATTTCCAGATCATGTCTTGTCCATCTTCTCTCAAAAACCACATCTCCTTTGAAGTGCATGCTGTCAGACTGCATCTTTTCACTACGTCTCATTACAATTGATCTCACTGCATGTCCTCATCCATGGAATTTAGCAAAGGTCACTACCTTCCTCTCAGTAGCAGCCTGCTCACTGACTTCTTCCATGTAGAACATTCACCCAACACTCTGAACATTCAGTTCCTTGATTACCTCCCTCACTTCCAACAAATCCTGTCCTTATTCTAACTCAACTACCCACTCCAATAGATATGAAATCTTATCATATTCTACTCAACAGCCCCAAATCTTAATATCAAGAATTCCATTCTCTGACCACCAGCTACTGACTCTTCAGCTCACATTCTTTACTATGCTCATTCCTACAACCCATGAGGGCCACCAATCCATTGACCTCAGCATGTTTGCTGCCGAGCACTCAGGAGCCTCATGCCCTCATTTCTATCCTTGGACAGAGGCTAAAACCACCTCCCAGGGTAAAACCAACACTCATGTCCTGCTTTCATTCCTTCTATCAGGTCTGCCTGGAAAAACTTCAGGCCTGCTTTCTCTGCCTGTGTACCTATACCAAAGTAGCTGAACATGGCTGGATAAAAACGACTATGTGGACAGTTGTTTTTTTAAAGTTGACTAAAAAACCCTCAAATGGGCCTTCAGTAATCCTATTACATTTCTCTAGTCAGTTCACTTTTCCACTCCTGATTTTTTTTCATGCCTTAAATCTCCAACTCTTTCTTCTCTTCTCTTTCAGCCAAAATTCTAACTTCTCAGTTCACTAGGAAACAGTCAGAAGGGAACTTTTCTGACAAATCTATGACCTTCCCTACTTCTGTAGCTCTATGCTTTGCCCTCCTTAACTAAAATAATGAACTGTCACTGCCTCTAAGGCCAACCACTTCATTGTACATTATGTACTATTCTCTCTGCCTGTTCAAGGCTTTGTTTGCTCTTGCACTTAACTTCTTTTGTTTTTTTAAAGTTGACTAAAAAACCCTCAAATGGGCCTTCAGTAATCCTATTACATTTCTCTAGTCAGTTCACTTTTCCACTCCTGATTTTTTTTCATGCCTTAAATCTCCAACTCTTTCTTCTCTTCTCTTTCAGCCAAAATTCTAACTTCTCAGTTCACTAGGAACAGTCAGAAGGGAACTTTTCTGACAAATCTATGACCTTCCCTACTTCTGTAGCTCTATGCTTTGCCCTCCTTAACTAAAATAATGAACTGTCACTGCCTCTAAGGCCAACCACTTCATTGTACATTATGTACTATTCTCTCTGCCTGTTCAAGGCTTTGTTTGCTCTTGCACTTAACTTCTCTCTCCCATCATCAATTCAGTTTTTCAAATAGCTTTCCACCAGCATATAAATAAGCTTTAGTATCTTACATTAAAAAACAAAATATAAACTTAAGATATGTGAATTTTACTATATACAAACTAAACCTCAATCAAAAAACAAGAAAAAAAATGACCTTCCTTAATGGGGTTCTCTGTACTCATCTGTCTGTTCAGTTCACATTTTTTTAATCCACTCTGATCAGGGTTTTGTCCTTCCCACTTTTATTAAATTCTCAGTCTTTATCTTACTGGGCCTCTCAGTTATATTTGCCAAACGTGACTAATTCTTCCTCTTTGAAATGCCTTTTCCTCATTTCCTAAGACAAAATGTCTCCTTTTTGGCCTCCTTTGCTGGCTCTCCTTCCTCTTCTTGCCTTTAAATTTAGGGGTGACACAGGTTCAGATTTCCAAAGGTTCTTTTCTTCTCTCAATATTCATCGGGTTTGGAACATTTCTTTTAGTCCCATACTGTTAAATAACATCTATGTAAAATTAACATCCTCAACCTTGACCCCTCTCTTGAACCCCAGAAACTAACACCAACAGTCTACTAGCTATCTTCTTTTAGTATTAGATAACTCAAATTTAACCTGTCCCCAAAATTACTGATTCTCCAACCTCCCAACCTGTTTCTCTCCCAGTCTTCCCCATCTTAATTGTTGCTAAAGCCTAATGTTAGTTTCTTCTATGAACAAGTCTGGCTGGCTTAACCTCAGGAACCTAACTACTCATCACTTCTACTGCTTCTATTAGCCTGTCTTCCTATTGTTTGTCCCTATACCCTATTCTACATACAATAGCCACTGATCTTCTAAAAGCATAAATCTATTCTCTGCTTGAAAATCCCTCCAATGATTTCACATAACATTTAAAATAAACCTCAAGTTTCTTTTTGTGGGCTAAATCACATGACATACTTTAGCCCCTAACTCCCACCCAAAACTATGTTTTCTGTGTCACTGCACTCCACCACCACCAGCACACCTACTATTCCTTAATCATGGCAAGTATGCTCCTACCTCAGGGGGTTTTTACTTCTGTGTCCTCAACCTGAATTGCCCTTTGCTTGGATTACTCCTTAATATCATGATGTTTCTGATTAAACATCATCTTTTCAGAGAGGCCATTTCTAAAAGTCTTGCCTATATTGCTCTCCACTCCCACTTTCCCCAACTGAAATGTAAGTTTCATATTATAAGACAGTGCTATATACTCAGACAACTCATGACATTCAGTATGTGCTCAGTTAACAAGTATTTAATGGACATATAAAATATTTCATATTAGGCACTGTAGATTTGTTGACATTAAGTATGTAATAGGTACTAGTCTAAATGTAGTCTACTCTTGTGCCCCATACCTAAAACTTGGGTTTCTCTAATTTGTCATATTGTTTTATTGTTTGAATTAAGTATGGAATCTTAGAATATTATTACATAGATGATGTAGTCAGATATAATAGAAAAAAACACTGGATTTGAAGGACAATCGGTCTTTTTTCCTTATCAAGCATGTGATCTTCATCAGGTCATTTAATCTCTCAGAACCAGTTTCTTTACTTACAATGATGATCTTCAATTGGGGGTATTTTGCTCCCTAGGAAACATTCTGCAATATCCAGAGACATTTTTGGCTGCCATAACTGGGAGGAAGGGATACTAATGCAGCTAATGGGTAGAGGCCTGTGATACTGCTAAATGTCCTACAACGCCCACGACAGCCCTACAACAGACATTTATCTGGTCCAAAGAGTCAATGTGCTGAGGCTAAGAAACCCTGCTCTATACAACAGTGATAATATCCCTTTTACCTTCTTTACTGGCTATTGTATGGATTTAATTAGATCATATATATATGAAATAATTTTTAAGCCACACAGTGATTACAAAGGTTAATGGAGACTGACTTAAAGTAGAAATAAAAATACATTACCTAAGAAAAATATCATTACAGTGTTCTAAAATATATAGGGATTTCAGAGTCTTATCTATTTACTTAAAAATTTGGTTAATGCTCTAAATAAGTTGTCCAATTTTTGAAAAGTAATAGCAATACTATTCAGAGAAATACAGTAAACTAGAGAACAAGAGTCTCCTAGGATATTATTTCTTACAGTGAGAACTATTTACATTAGATCACCTGGGGTGTTTATTAAAACCCCTAAGCTCCACTCATAACCTACTTAACAGGAGTCTCCGGCGGGGGTGTGCTGAGGGTGGGGCTCTGAAACAGGCGTCTTAACAAGCACCTCAGGTGACTCTTACGATCACGAAGGTTTAAGAACCATCATCTTGAAGCTGGTTTTCTCTTTTGGTTTAAATTTGTAAAATATATGCCCTAGTAACCAGACCAGGAATGTAAACAATTTAAGAACTAGTGTGTCTCACAGAATTAAAACCTGAATTTAGAGAAACTCACATTAGGAACTGAGGTTGTAATAAAGAAATTATTAGTCTCTCTGGGATATGAAGAAAAAATTCTGGCATAAATAATATAAGTAGGAAACAGGGGAACACAGATTTTATAGAACCTATGTGAACAGGTCACGATGCATTCAGTTCAGTCATGGTTATTCTTGGTTCTATTTCTTATAAACATTTCACTGTATAGAAAATTGCTATTTCATAGCAAAAAAAGAAAAGAAAAGAAAGGAAATCAACACCAGGATATGGGATGTGGATTAAGATGATAAGTAAGAAATGAGATTGAATGCTCATGTACTAGGACAGGGGCAATCATCAGGAGTGACAATGGAATCATATGTAAATTGGTGGCCACGCACCACTGGTGAAATAATATTTTATACCATCAAATAGGAGTGCCAGTATAGGAGGGAAGAAACACTACCAACTCTCTTAGGCTGATATGTTAGGGAGAAGTGAATTTTGATTCTTTGTGCAGACCTGTTTTGCTGCTTAGTATTAGGTGTGACACATCAGAATTCTCTGGAAACCAGAAGTCAACACCATGGGATTGGTGGATACTGACAGACTCCTAAAGCAGCTTCAGAGATTTATGCTTCTGCACATTCCTATCATGTGTCTTTGCTACTACCCACCTACCACTGCCCAAAAGTCAAAACAAGATTTATTACTGAACTTAAATACTTTAAACTTTGTTATTGTAATCATTTCCATATAGCTTAATATTTCTTCTGTTGTGCTTGCCTACTAGAATGCAAAGAACAAATAAACTTCTTATTGACACTCCTTGACAAAGAATTACATATAAGAAGAGTTTCACTTCCTATCTATTAGTCGTGAGTATGCTAATAAATTTTGGGTTATTTTTAGCTTTACTTCTGAATTATGCTTTTATGAAGAATCTAAAATTTTGTATTTGACAAGAGTGCTTCAATACAAAATGGTATGTTCAATTTCTCCAAATTCTATCCCTATTAAGCGATAAATATACTAGGAATACGTCATAATTTCACACAGACCCGAACAATTCCAATACATGCTTTAAGTGTTGACTTTTATTTACAAAGAGAAAAGAAAGCTTTTAATAAATTTAAATACCTCAACCAGAACAGCTGCAGCCTATTCTCAAGGTGAAAGTGCAGTGCCACCTATTGGTTAAAACAGTGCAATTCTCTTTGTAAATCTTTTAGAAAGGAAAATATCAAATCTATTCAAAAGTATAAAAAACAGTATAATGAAACCCATGTGCCAGCTACCTTTAATAATTATCAACTCATGACCAATCTTATTTCATCTATACTACCATCCAATCTGTCCTCACTCCCAATTTTGAAACAAATTCTAGAATTCACACATTATTTAAAGAGATGAGATTCGTGATAAGCTATCAATTTTTTAAAAAATTTGAGCATCATGTCTATGATTGCAAATGTCAATATATGTGCATATGTCCTCAAGTTATTAAGAATGCATTCTGAAATTTTTTTAAAGTGCCATTTGTTAATCATATCTATGAAATTTAATAACTTTGGGACCAGGACAACAGAGAAGTCTCATCTGAGTATCAAGAGCTCTGTTTTAACCCTGATCTAGTCACCCACTGATCAAAAAATTCAATCTCCCAGTTTCTTCATGTATAAAATAAGGTGATTTTATGTAGCCTGTAAGATCCTTTCCAATTCAAAAATTCTGAAATTTTATATTAATTTTCATTATAAGTAAACTTGAGCATATGCAAAGTCATTCATAAGCAATTTAAGTTGATTTTAAAACCTTATAATAAAAATACAAAAACATCTAAATACAGGAGTCTGTGTGTTTGCCATTTGAATTTCATGCATATTATAGTAATATAAAATGTACTTTTCAATTTCTCTTAAGAACTTCCTTATACTATGAATATAATCCAAACTATAATTAATTATTCCTCTTGGCATCTTAAATAATAAAATATGGATAAATGCTATCTTTAGGATCTTCATGTGTCATGTATCCTTGTTTAAAGGACTTCTGGGATACTTTCATAAGTAAGTCCTTTAGATGAAGTCTAGAATATTCTATAGCAAATTTTGTTTCCAAGAACCAAAAAGGGGGGCAAATTATAATATATAATTATACTATAGCGATACTGCAGAAAATACAAGGGTTCAAATAAATCACAACTATGTCAAAAATATCAATAGCATTGTTAGTTAAAAAACAGTAAGACAATGAAAAGACTATAACCCCAGGAACAGGGTTTATAAAGTCAAATTAAAAAATAATTCATTATTTTTTAGCATAAAAGGGAACACTATTGGAATCTATGAAATGCATAACATATATTTTTTTCATTTATGGTATTTCACTTTTAAATCTCTCACATAGTATTAATTAGGAAAATTGCAAAGACTATAATATATTATCTGTAGACAATTCCTAATCTTGTGATGTATTTATTGATATGTATTCCCTCAGCTAGATTACAGCTCCTACAGGGTTCAGTATATATTTTATCTGCAAGTATCTCTGATTATTAAAGCTGATTTTAGGGACTATTTTAAAGAAAAAAATATAAGGAAACTAAGCAGAATGGTATGTATTAAAAAGGTAAATGATTATATCATATTGTTAAAACATATTTCTAGTTAAGAGCAAATGATACTTGGTCAACAATTCAAATTTATTCCTGAAAAAGTCATAGTCAATATTTATTCTTTAATCTCACTCAGTTAAAATGTACATTTACTAATACTATCCAAATTTTAATTATCACTTCAACTGGGGAAGTTAAAAGGGAAAGAAAAAAATGAGACATTCGGATGATCTCATCTGGGCTCAGAGTTTAAAATTATTACTGAGCAATTGTTTTTTCAATTCTCTATTGTTGTGCATTTAGATCCTACAGAAGAGGATGCACATTATATTCACCTTTGAGCACAGAATTTTTTTTCAAGTAATACACAAATCCAATAAATGTATTTCTGGAGTTGCATTTTTTTGGGGAAAGGGCTGGCTTTTCTTTTACTACTTATTTATGGGGAAGGTATTTTGCCCCTCATATATGTGTAAGAGTGGATACTGTGTATTCAGAGGATGTGCATATGTGTGTGTAAACTGATCAGTTTTCAGACAGGTCATCTAAGGAGATGGTAATTAATGGAATTCATTCAAGTTTTATATTGTAAATTGGTAAATTTTAAACACTCTTGAACACTTATTATCTGTAATCTGCCTATGGACTAATTTATTTTCCCAATTCCAGAACTGTGATTTGTGTGATTATCCCCCTCAAAGCTACAAATATGAACTTTGCAATGCACAAAGAATGGAAAGACGCCCTGCACCTTCTGCATTCACTATCCATCATACAATATCCATCAGTTTGTGATTAGTGCAACAATTCTGGAGTTACTCCCAGGCATTCACTGTACTATACTTTCCCAGTAAAGCAAGGACAGGCCTCCCTCTGAGGATTTAAGAATCACAGTTGCTGTTTCAGGACTACAGATGAAGATTCTATCTTTGTATTATCACTCTGTCTTCTGTAGTTTTTAAATTTTCAAACTGCGTTTCTGTAAAAATACATAAACTGTATTGGAGACAAAATCAACACCAATCTTCTAATGAATATGTACTAAGAGGTCAAAATATACTTTATAGTCTCTAAAATTTAAACATATGCACTTTATGGCCCATACTGAAGTTTATAGCAACTTTGTTATATGCTACTAATTATGCGTTAATAATAGCATTGTAACTTGCAGAGAAAAAAGCCTCTCACACTATGCTGGCTCTCAATCTCTTCATGCTTCTGCTGTAGGGCCTGGGAAGCCCGAATGGAGTCTCCAATCCCCCACTGTGCTCTTAGTTGTTCTGATCCAGGCCCTTCAAGCCAGTTCACAACCTATAAATGGAAGTTGAGATAAAATTTTTAAAAAATCAAAAGCTTTTCAAATTTCATTATAACTGTTTCTTTTCCCCCAAAGTTCCTCAAGTATTTTTAATTTAAATTCTTTAAATTCTATTGTATAGGCAGTAAATGTTTTTTTGGAACTGTGCAACTATATATAATGTGACAACTTTTCTAAACTTAAATTTGAAAAAGAGTATACTATAGGCACCACAGGCTTTCAGCAACTGATCACCTGCCAGGATAAAAGAAATATTGAACACTCCTATAAAAGAGGACTAAAAATTAACTTATGATTGATATGAAAATCAGACTTTAGGATTTAAGAGTTGGACAGGACATCAGAAATGACATCAATCAAATTTCTTATCTAATAGTTAAGAAAATTGAGTTTCAGAGAGATTAAGTGACTTGCCCAAAGTAACATAATCCATTATTAAATAACTAGGACTAAAACCATGTGTCCTGATTCATAGTATAATGTTCTTCCCAAAGCATTGATAAAACTGATATAATTAACTAATTAACTAATGCAAAGTTAAATATAATTTTTCTCATATTAAAAAGAAAATTAAAAACTGTACAATTATATAATTGCCATACCCTCTACAGGGTCTTCTTAAGATCAACTAAACATCGAGACCCATATGACCATCTGAAGTCCCACTGACACTGTTTACTCAGAAGGATGAAGGATGGGGATTACAGCTTGCCCAAATAGCACTATCAGGTGTTTCTCTCCTGCCAAGTTCCTGAAGCAGTCCAGCAGGTCAGGGGTAAGGAGATGAGATCCATTTGAAGTCACTGAACTCAAGGATGCCCATTATGCCTTCCATCAAGTATTAACAGTTCTCCCAGCCCAGAAAGAATAACTTTTACTATAAGCAATGTTGCCTAGTCACGTAGGTAACATTACCATTTTCATGAGGTTTTCATGAGAACAGAGCAAGAGAATCAGGCAAAGATCAAATTCTCATGCAGAAGGAGAAAGGGTTTTGTTAACTTTAAGTACCCACAAACATACATACTCTAAAACTAGAGGCACAGTGAAGTAATTTGAACAGCAAAATTATCAAGCTTAACCTGTTTCTAAATTAGAGTAAGGAATTAAACAGATGTATGGTTACAACCTAAATCTAAACTTGGGATAGCTTAGAGCACAGTATTATATACAACCCAGTGGATAGACAAACTGACCTTATAACTTTATAACAGAGTATCACAGACCATAGCACATTTCTGTAACTACCAGGTTAAAATATATTCATTTTAAAATCTAACAGTTCATGTAATTTTTACTAATTATATAAAAATACCACATTATAGGGAAAAATCATGTATATTTCCTTCCATTAATTTTTCACATGCATTGCATTTTTATGTTCTTTTAGACAGGTTTAAGAACTACAGCCAATTTTCATGAAGTACAAGTAATTGCTATCCTGTATTTTTCACTTAACATTACACTATAATAATATAATGATTTTCCATGCAGCTACAGTTATTATAATTTTCAAAGGTTGTAAACCTCTTTTTTAAGAAGGCTGACCTCCTTGCTTTCCTGCATGACTTACTCCCTCCCTCCCTGTTTAACCAAATAACCAACCCATCCTCATTAAGAGCTAAGTAAGTAATGCACTACCTCAGGTAACTATTATACTTGCTTTCAAAACTCCACTTCTTTATTGTTGAGCATGAATTAGAATTTCCACCAATTCTAAGATGAAAAAATATATATGTATCAGTTACACACAGCAATTTTTTCTCTAAAAAATTTTCCTCGGAAAGATTTTCAATAGAGATTTTGAGCCCAATGATGTAATGTTAATGGCTGTTACTATACATTATGAAAGTGCTCTTTAAGTTTCTATTTAAAACATTCAAGTAATGAGTTTAACTAAGAATAACTTTTGCAAGGTATACAAACTGATCACTGCTTTTAAAATACTTCTGCCAATTGCAGGTTGATGGAAAAAGCCAATGCATATACCCAGTGTCTACATGTCAAAAAATTACCCATACGAAATCTTTTCAGTGATTCCCTTCTTCAATATGAATTCAGAGGAGAGAGTTTTTGCTGAGATGTCAAATGCAGTCAGTTTGAACAGCAGTTGTACTAACTGCGTTTTTACACCCTACAACTCTAAGAAGGAAACCTGCAAAACAGTTTTATGCTCACCAGCTTGGGGTGCTTTTGATTAAATTTCAAGCGTTCAATCCATTAACCTTTTTTTGTCCACGCGTAATTTGTACACAGTTTTGTTTTATTCAGCTAGGAAAATCTACATTTGTCAAAAAACGGACAGATTATTTTGGTGTCCAAAATTCACCGGACAAATATCATTGCTTATAGTTTTCCTTTTGCCATTAATAAGAGAATAATTTCTATGCGCGTTTCATGTATTGGGACGTCTTCTGACTCCAGGATTTCATAGAATGACAAATGGATTGTTGGGGGAAATCTGAAGCTTGTATTAAAAGTTTAATTCACTGAACATTCAGAACAATTGTGGGTGAGAAAAAGAAATATATCTTCCTCAATAAACTTTTCTTTTGAAAAAGGAAAAAAAAATACTTCTGCCAATTGAAACAGATCTCTCTAGGTGTATTTTTAAATAGTAGTGAGAATGAATAAACTGCAAATGTTTGCTTATGAAAGGTATACGATCTTTTCTTATTTATCTCTTTATGTTCTTTACCTTATGTTCTAGAATCTTAAATATTAACATATCCTTAGCTACACCTCTTTTTATAAGGTTTTAATACTGGAGTGCAACAACTCAAAAACAAAGAGTTCATGTATTATTTCTGACTCACAGGAATAGCCTAAAGTGCTATAACCATCTTTGTTAAACTGTTTTCGGAGTCCTAAATTCATCTGTAATGTCTGGTACTCTTGAGAATGCAACGGTGTCTTTTTTCTCAAGAATTCCACCTTTTTTGCTTTAGCCTTTTGTATGAGCTATCTTTAGAGGGGCAGGGCACTAGGATCCTGTTTTTCTGTAACCTGTTGTACTACTCTAACAGAAGAGCCAGATGAGAATTTCTGTCTGGAGAAAGCACTAAACCTAAGTTTTAAATCTGAATTCTGGCTTTGTTCCTACTAGTTGAAAGACTTTGGTCCATCATCTTTGAAATGGTGTTAATGCTACCTACCATTAAGAGCCATTGTCAAGATTATACCAGTTATTTTATTTATGACTCTTTACCACTAATTAAATGATACTAATTGTTAGCCTCACTGCTTTCTCTACTGTTTCTAAAAGAAAAAGTCTCACTCTTCTTCACTCTTTATAAAGTTTGTCTCACATCTGCATTTCTTAAGGAAGTCCCTGAACTGTTTTATTCAACACATTTAAAAAAGGAAATAAAGAGTAAATTTTAAGGAAGCTTATGTACACATTTTCAAACAATTTTCCATTTCCTTTTTGGAACCCAATTCCTTCTCATTCATTAGTATGTTTTACAAATATGGATATAGAAACATATAAAATTCTTTTAAGTATTTTAAACAATAATATAACTATTCCACTAGAATATCTAAATTCAAAAATACAAGGTTAAAGTGAAAAGCACCTCAAAAGTTTTAACTACTAATAATATAGACAGGCATACCTCATTTTATTGCATTTCTCAGACACTGTTTTTTTTAAACAAATAGAAAGTTCGTAGCAACCCTACTCATGATGCCATTTTTCCAACTACATTTGCTCACTTTGGGTCCTGTCAACATTTCAAGCTTTTTCATTATCATATTTGTTATGGCAACTTGTGATCAGTGATCTTTGATGTTACTATTGTAGTTGTTTTGTGACACACAAACCACAAACCATGCCGCTATCAGACGGTGAACTTAATTGATAAATGTGTGTGTTTTCACTGCTCCACTGACCAGCTGTACTCCTGCCCCTACGCCTTTCCTAGGCTTCCTTATTCCCTGAGACACAACAATATTTAAATTTAGGCCAATTAATAATCCTACAACGGCCACTAAGCGTGCAAGTAAAAGGAAGAGGCCCACATCTCTCACTTTAACTCACAAGCTAGAAATGATTAAGCTTAGTGAGGAAGGCATGTCAAAACAAATAAAGGCCTCAAAAGCTAGGCCTCTTGCAGCACAGCCAAATTGTGAATGGAAAGGCAAGTTCTTCAGGGATATTAAAAGTGCTACTCCAGAGAATACATGAATGATAAAAACTGCAACAGACTTATTGCTGACATGGAGAAAGCTTGAGTGGACTGTAGAGAAGATCAAACCAGACACAACATTGCCTCAAGCCAAAACTTAATCCAGAGCAAGACTCTAACTCTCTTTAATTCCTTGAAGGCTGAGAGAGGTGAGGAAGCTGCAGAAGAAAAGTTGGAAGCCAGCAGAGATTAGTCCACATGGTTTAAGGAAAGAAGCCTCCTCTGTAACATAAAAGTATAAGGGGAAGCAGCAAGTGCTGAAGCTGCAGCAAGGTATCCAGAAGATCTATGTCAGATGGTTAATAAAGGTGGCTACACAAAACAACAGGTTTTCAATGGAGACAAAACAGCCTTCTATTGAAAGAAGATGCCATCTAGGACTTTGATGGCTAGAGGAGATGTTAATGCCTGGCTTCAAGACTTCAAAGATGAGTGGACTCCCTTGTTAAAAGTTAATGTAGCTGGTGGCTTTCAGTTGAAGCCAATGCTTATCTATCATTTTGAAAATCCTAGGTCCTTAAGAATTAAACTGTGTCTACTGGTCCTGTATAAGTGGAACAATAAAGCCTGGATGACAGCACATCTGTTTACAATATGGTTTACTGAATAGTTTTAAGTCCAGTGATGAGATCTACATCTCAGAAAAAAGATTCCTTTCAAAATATTACTGCTTACCTGTTTGTCCAAGAGCTCTAATGAAGATGTAAGAGATTATTATTTTCATGACTGCTAACTGTAGGGAAAATGTAAGTTCCATGGCTAGGATCCTCACCTGATACCCACTGTGTATGTGCAGTTATGTAATA